TTCTTTCTCCCTCTCCTTCTCCCTCTTCCCTTCCTGGCTGCCATGAGGTGAGCAGCTTTACCCTTTCACACCCTTCCACCATGATATTTCAGCCTTGCCACAGGCCTCAAGCGATGGAGCCACCTTACTATGGATTGAAACTTCTGAAACTGAGCCAGAATAAACCTCTCTTACTTTAAGTTGTGTATATCAGTTATTCTATCCCAGCAACAGAAAGCCAACTAACACAGCAATTTGACTTGGGCCTCTGGTGAGGGCCACCCATCACGGTAGGAGTGCATAACAGAGTGAACGGCCACATCTGAAGCCAGGAGGCAAAAAAGGGAGAGAGCGAAACCCCAGTCCCACAGTTCCTTTCAAGGGCACACAACCGTGACCAAAGCTCCATTTTAAAGGTCCACAGCACTTCCCAGGACCATCACCCTGGGGACTAAACCTTTACAGATGTACCTTTGGGGTCCACTCATCCCGACCCATTTCTCCACGTTTGCCACCATTTCTCTTTCTTTCCCTACTCCCACCCCCATCATTACATTTCTGAAACTTCTGCTGTTAAGGACAGCTGCACACAGACAAACATTCAGTGACATGTTGAACTGTATGTTTTCATCATGCACTACCGCATTTCAGTTGTTTAGTCTCTGCCAATATCCTGAAACCTTTGCTCTTCCTGGTGTGCTCAATCTTAGTAAAGGCACTGTGTCTGCTGAGTTGCTTGCGCCCTGCCATAGCCCCAGGGCATCAGGACCATTTCCTGTCTTTCTTACCCCCACATTTAAGTCATCACCAGCTCCTGCTGATTCCACCTGCAAGATGCCCTCTCAGATATTGCTCTCATTTCTGCTGTAGTCATCCTCATTCAGGCCAACCTGACCTCTCTCCTGTAGGCCTTTCCTCTTTTCTTTAACCATTTGTATCTGCTAACTATTGCTATATAATAAATTATCATAAACAGCAGCTTCAAACAACTCGTATTGGTTATCTCATAATTTCTGTAGGTCACAAATGTACTGCTGGGGATTTAGCTCAGTGATGCTGCTGCCTGTCTCACACGCACAAGGTCCGTAGTTCAATCCCCAGTGTATTAAAAAAAAAATCAACAAATGTACTACTGTGGCTTTGCTATGTGCCCATAGCTTCTAATAAACTTGTAATCAAGGTGTTAGCCAGGACTTCCACCACCTCTAGGCTGCACAGAGGGAAGACCCAGTTTCAGGCTTATTCCGGTGACTACTGGCAGGCCTCAGGCCCTTTCTGACTCTAGCCAATTTGTTGTCCTGACGTTCCTCTAGACAGCAGTTTATAACACAGTAATTGGCTTTCCTCAGAGAAGTAAGCAAAAGAGTTGGAGAAAGACCCCAAAAGTCACAATTTCTATAAACTTAATTTTAGAAGTGATATTCTATCATGCTACTGTTTTCTATTCAGTAGTAATAACTCACTGGTCCCAGTGTGTGGTCATGGGTAGAGATACGGAGAGCAGAGGCCACCTGAGAGGTTGTCTGTTGCTACTGGCCCTCGGACAGCCAGGGAGTCGAGTCCTTCCAAGTGCAAAGTGTGCTCTCTTCCTCTGAAGTTCTTCAAAATCTTCTTTCTCCTATGGCATGGATGTACAGGTTGGCTTCCCTGGGCTGCATTGAATGCAGAAGAACTGTCTTGAGTCACATATAAAAGGAATGATATAGTAATGCATATAAATTACAAAACATTTATTTTAAAATATTTTTCCTATAACACACAGAGCAACAGAAACTAGCAATATATCTGTCTTTGTTTTTATGAAACTAATTCATCAGGGTCTGGTTCAATGGAAGTGGTTGCAATACTTAGTGAGTTCTTAAGCTGGTTAAGAAAAAGTTAAAACTTTTGCAACTAAGTTTTAATTAAAAATGTTTTTTTGAGACAGGGTCTTGCTATGTTAGTTCAGGCTGGTCTTGAACTACGTTGCCCAGGTTGGTCTCAAACTTGTGGGGATCCTCCTACCTCAGCCTTCGGAGTGCTGGGAATACTGGTATGTGCCACGATACCCACTAGATCTAATTTTACCCTTTACGCTTATTCCTTGAAACCACTGTTCACAATATAGCAGTGCATTGTGCCCTCTCCTACACAGAATTCTGTTGTCACCTGCACCATCCATGTTCCAGCACTGTGCAGTTGAGTCATGAAAACAATCACTAAAAAGTCACACAATAATGTTAAAAGTTTACAATCTTGTGGGGCTATATTACTGGCTTTCCAGGGCTACACGCAGCTTGTGGGCTGGACATGCCTTATAACATCAATTCAAAGTCCAGAATGTCAAAATCAAATCAAATCAAATCCTTGGGCCAGGGATTTAGCTCAGTGGTTCTGCCACCTGCCTCACAAGTGTAAGGTCCTGAGTTCCAAAAAAAAATCTAATTAAGTCCAGATGTAATCTCTTTGACCACAGTTCCTTAAATATATTTCCACAGTAGCCAGGCCTTTGACTCAGTGGTTCTGCCACCTGCTTCTCAAGTGTAAGGGCCCAAGTATGATCTCCAGTACATTTTTTTTCCACAAGTGTAGATCCTCTTGATTTGTAGACCATGGAAAATAAGGAGACAAATTATTTGTCCCTTCCACATTCAAGGTACAACAGTGAGCCAGGAATAACAGAATGTGATAATTAATGTTATGTGTCCACTGAGTGGGGTAGGCTAAAACCCCTGAAAAATTCTTTCAAAGGTTCTTGGCCTAAAGAGCACAGACCTGGGTTCCAATACTATCCTGACCAATTTTTGGCTATGTACAAATGGGTTCAACCTGTCTGCAGATGCCCAGTGGCAAAATAAAGCCTGCCATCTCTGCCTTCATTTTATACATCTCTTTCAGTTTGTTTTATGAAAATTTCATGTAGTGTGTTCGGGCTGGAGAGCGGGCCTAAGAGTTGCAGCTCCAAGCTGTAAGCCTCTGGGATCTGGAGAGCAAAGGTCCTCTGTGGCCTCTAGGACTTCACCATGCCTAAAGCACATAAGAGGAAAAGTACAGAATGAGAAAAAAAAAATCATCCACCCATACAGTAGAAAAGCTGCTCAAATTACAAGTATATCTTTGGATATACTAAATATGAACCTTAAAAACTTTGGCTTAGATCCTTGTTCACCTCTGAACACAAGCATGCTAATCATGTAAGGAGCAGCTATTAGCCCTAAATTTACATAACCTATCTCATCCCCCTTCAAGGCTGAGTGTTACCAGCCACTTAGGTTCATTTGCTTACTACTGACAAATCAAAGGAGGCCAGCTATTCTGGTAAAAAGGAAAATAGGATTTATTTAAAGCTAGCTCAGAGTTGGAGAGGTCCTTTTGCCTTACATCACCACTTTCTCACAAACTGATTGGTAACACTCACACCAGGGATTGAACTCAGAACCCTGGGCTTGCCAGGCAGGTGCTGCATCATTGAACGACATCCCTGGCCTCACTATGTAGCCCAGGCTGGTCTTGAACTCACAGTGATCCTCCTGCCTCAGCCTCCTGAGTGCTGGGATTACAGGCGTGCGCCACCAGGCCCGGCCATATGCCGGTTTATATAACATCCTCATTCAGATTCCCTGGGGTGGAATCCTAGTACGTCTCAAATTGTCCTGAACCAGCAGTCAACTCCCCATCCCTGTTTCCAGGAAAAGCAGGCTTGAGGACCACCTTATGATGCTCACTCACCCACCCGCAAGACGAGCAAACAAGCATGAGAACAGATTGTCCCCTCAAGCCATAAAGATTTTTGGTCAATCTCACAGAACCAGGGATAATAACGAGACTGTGAGACTGAGCCTTGACCAGGGTTACTTACCCTGACAACTACGCAAACTCCTAGTGCTTGTCTTTGTCTCGCTTATCTATAAAACCACAAAATTTCTCTCAGCGTCTCAAAGACGGATCGTGAGCCTTTTTAATCTGTCCTTCCTAGTGTCGGCCACGCTGACTGAAGCTCTTTTCCTGCCCATCAATACTGCTCATCTCCTTGGCTGGTGTTTTGGACGGGTGGCGGAGTATGGCCGGTTGGACCCCCGGAGCCTAGTATTTCTTCTTAAAAGTCCAGTAACAAGCTCTCTAAGCCTCAGCTGCCAAGTATGTAAACGAGGGACAAGAATATACTTCACAGTCCAAAAAGCTCATCTTGTAAAGGACGTAGTGGAGCAAAGGAGCTTCACGAAATACTCTATTCCTTTCCCCTGCGGCAGCACCCTTCCAGGCCTCAATGCCCTCTTCTGCATCACCCATCGGCCTCCACGGTTCCCTTCCACAGGGTGGCAAAACGACGAGGTAAGAGAAGAGGGCCAGCGCAGGCGCAGATACACTTGTCCCGCGGCGACCTCCAGTGGCCCTGCCCCGTCAGGCCGCCTCCTGCGTCATTAGCTCCGCGCCAGCACAGCCGAAGGCCCGGGGGCCTGTGTGGCCTGCGGGCGGCCTC